CCAGGTCACCTCAGCTGCTGGGGAACCCTGAGCCCCTTTCCACGTTCACCGGAAGGTAAAGTCAGGTGAGGCCGGAAGAGTTCACCTGCGGGTGGGGAGTGGGTTTGTCTACATGAGTTCGCCAGGATTTTCCTGGGCCCTGGGGCCTCATCTGGAGGTCATCCTGGGTTTGGTTTGTGCCTCCTTCCCTCAGTGCCTCATAACAGCAGCCCTTCCTATGACATTTCTATGCCCCATAAATCGGATAATTGTGCATCTTGGGTGGGTAGACATGCCAACAGATCCCAAGCGTGAAGGAACACAGTTGGGAGGGATGTCACTACATCCTGAGCAGGATGTTTCCTCACATTTCCAGAGGTGAAAGTCATTGCCTCTGTCCAGCTGAAGCGGGAACCAGTGCTTGGCTCCTTGCGTGAAATAAGTGGGTGAATGCAAGCTTGGGTATTTCCCTTCACCAACGGACTCTTGGAGCCAAAGGGGGGCATGTTTCCATTCTGTTTTTGTTCTCTGGAATACTTGTGATTAGTGTGGAGATGGCTGAATGACTTCTTTTCCCACCAGGATGTGCACCCTCCAGGGTCGGAGCTAGTCCTGTCTCCTCACAGTTCCCAGCTTGTGTGATAGGTGCTTGCGCAGTATTAGGGCATGGATGTTATCAGGGATGCTTTTGCCTGGTTTCAGAGAATAAGGAAACTGATGAGTTTAAAACTAAAATCCTAGGTTCATCAAATTCCTTTGGTTCTTAATTCTGTACTGCAGGGAGCATAGCTTACCCTTTGTAAGAAGGTTGCTTCTGTTGTGGGGAACTAGTAAGGCAGTATAAAGTACAGAAGTTCCTTTTCGAAGGGTTGTAATGAGACAAATGAAATGGTAAAGGGTGGCTGTGGTTAATGGGGTCCTTCTGTTAAACTGCCTCTTCAAAATTAGTTGGTTTTGCACTCATTAGTTAAATATGTGTTATAACTTGTCAACTTAAAACAACCCTCCCGGCCGGTGTTGGCTCACTGGTTGAGCGAGGGCCCATGAACCAGGAGGTCTGATTCCAGTTCAGGGCACATGCTTGATCCCCAGTAGGAGGCGTGCAGGAGGCAGCCAATCTATGGTTGATGTTTCTCCCTCTCCCTTTCTGGAATCAATAAAAATATACTTAGAAAGAACAGCACCACCGAAGCAGTTTCAGGTACTGAATGAAGTCTCTCTAGGGGTCCTGATGCCCTGCTTATCATTGGGAAAGTTATTTCTATAGATGAGGTTTTTGCTAATTTTGTGAAGAGCCAGCAAAGGCAGCTAGCTCTTCCTCTGGTAAGAGAACTAAACCTTGGTCTTTTGTTAAGGACCCAGGATGGGGAAAGGCAGCCTGAGTGGAGGGAGGGGTTCTTCTAAAGTGGTCAGCACAGTTAATACGGGAAGGGTGAGGAATGGAATGGAAGATAGCAAGAAGAGGGTGTTGAGAGGTAATAAAGATCCTGCACAATTTCTCTGCTGTTTTCCCTTCCTGGGGTTTTTACTTCCGCTTGTAGATTTTTGCTATGGGTGTCCTTTAGGGCTGCCTGGTCTTCTGTTCTTCCTCTAAATCGGGGATAACTCATCTGGGTTACTAATGACTGGGAAGTATAAGGAACACTTGTCCTGCCAAAATGCCAGTGTCCCTGTGAGCAGTACTTCTCTAAATGCTTTCAGAGTATTTAGCTCTTCTATAACGTGGTCCAGGCCCTTGGACTACAAACATGACTGTTCCCTGTAGTGTAGTCTGGATGGAAAAGGGGGCATCTGTGGATGTGGTTTACCTGTTTTTACTTATGTAGGAACGTTTGTGCAATTAAAATTAGGTATGAAAACTTTAATTTCACAGTTTTTTATGTTTTACTGTGATTTTAAGTTTATACTTGATAGGTCTAGTAAGTGTGTGTGTTCAGCAGTCACCATGGGTAAACAAATGCACCAGCTGGGGAAACCCGTCCTGGCACGAGTTAGAACCACTGCAGAGCCCTGGCTGGTGTGGCATGTCCAGGTGTGGGCTGGGTCCCAGTAGGGGGCAGTAGCCCTCCTCACTTCTATCTCTCCCTCCCTTCCTCTATCTCTAAAATCAATAAAAACATTAAAAACTGCTGCATAAAGTCCCGCGACAATAGAACCAATTATCTCATACGATGCAGTGTGATTATGTGCTAATCATTCCCTGAACATAGTTTACAAGCAGTGAAACTTGGACTTAAATGTGTAGACTAATTGTAGTTGTGTAATGTTTGTCAGTGAAATTACTAGTGTTTTTCCAACTGTATGGCCTACTAGCTACATTTTGTTAAAAATAACTGAATAACAACCTGTTTTAATTATAGGTTGATATTGGTTATTAATAGGGTGTTCATTTTCACATGACATACAGACTGGAAATTTTGTCCATTAAATCCGGTCCATTAAATCAGTGTCCATAAAATCGAGGTGTTTACTGTATCATCTAGCTAAAACTAAAAATCTTGTTTCATCTATGCCCTTTCCACACATATTTTAAAGTAAATCTCAAACATATACTATTTTATCTGCACATATTAAATCCACCTGAGGGTTTGTTGTGTGTTTTTTATAAGGGAGGGAGAAACAAATCCGTTGCCTCCCATTCACACCTCTACTTGGGATGGGACCTGCAACCGGGGCATGTGCCCTAACAGGGAATTGAACCTGAGACCCTTTGGTACATGGGACTAGGCTCCAACTGATGGAGCCACACTGGCCAGGGCCGTAGGTCACTTTCTTACAGAGGAAATACCAACTCTCCTTGGGCTGTTGTAACAGGTTACCACGGATTTGGCTTAAAACAGCAGAACCTGATCTCGGTTCTGTAGACCAAAAAGCCACGATCAAGGTG